GTTTTAACAATTTTATAGAACGTTGCAAAAAACGTGAATGATGTAAATTTTTTGTAACAGTGAATGAATATTCGGTCTAATAGATCATTTTGTAAATTATTAAGGGGGTGTTCTCTTTGTGTTTCAATTTTGTGTTTTGAGTTTTAAATTCATTTTGAGTTTTGTGTTTTGAGTGTTTGTTTTGAAATTGTTGAAAATGCGTTCTTTTTGTTTGTTTCTCAAAACAAAAAAAATGAAATTTTTTTTTTTGAAATTTTGAGAATCACCACAAGATTACCTCAAAAAATAAATAAATAAATAAATAAATAAATAAAAAAAAAAAAAAATATATATATATATATAATAATTTTTAAATTTTTTTTTTTTGAAATTTTGAGAATCACCATACCACCTCCGAAAAAAAAAAAAAAAGTGTTTCCCGCGTTTTCAGTTTTTTCAAGTTTTACACTGAAAACGCCCAAAACGACAAAAAAGTCGTTTTGTGTTTTCTTCACAAATTTTTTTTTCGTTTTCGAAAATTCGTTTTCGAAAACGGGAAAGAGAACACGTTTTCACCGTTTTGAAAAATCGAAAACAGAAAACGGCCCGAAAACGGTAAAGAGAACAGGGCCTAAGTGATTGAAAGTTTAATCGTCTAATGATTTTTTTGAATTTATTTGGAGATAAATTTTTCTAGACATTTTATAAGTTTTTTATTAAATAATTTTCCTCTTGGTCAAAAATAATAGTAAAAATATAAATAATATATGACATATTAAAATGTGATCTTTAACTAGAAGAAAAAGCAAACACTTATTGCGAAAAATAAAAGAAGTTTGCAAAATATATTGAAAGTAACGGACAAAGTACATAGCAAAAACTTAACAACAAAGTGCAATCGAGGCCTTTTACAATATGGGTGAGTGTTGTGAAAGACTTACTACATCTTTTTTGTCTGTAACCAAAAAAAAAAAAAAAAGATTGTAGCAAATTTTTCAACCATCTATAGAATTTTTAGCAACAAATATTTATTATAGCAAAAAATAGACCCTATTGCATTACAAACATTTTGTTGCAAGAAATAAAAAAAATTTCACCATAAGTTTTCACCAAAAATATTTTGGTGCCTAACACCTCTCATGTTTTTGGCTACAAACTCTATTATTTCTTGTGTATTCTCACATTTTAGGACAATTTTTAATGTCGTGTTATATTTTTTGGTATTTATTTTTTTCATATATGTCTTTGCGACAAACTTAAAAGATATGTCACGCTAAATTACTTATTGCAACAACTTTTTGTATATTGCGAAATATTTTTTTTGCATAATCACATTTTTGTTGTAGTGAAAAATGAATCTAATGGTGAAAAAGAGGAACTATTTTTCAACCGTCTGAGAAACTTGGAAAAAGATTTTTTGACTCAGTACAGTGAATCATCAAATCCTTCATCAGTGTCTCATGGAAAGCACAGCTCAATCACTGATAGACGTTTGAGGTGGCTCTACCAATTGCATGATGTTATTTAACTAATCTTGTCAGATTTCATGCTTTAGTCCGGCAAATTAGGACCCTTTTTTGGTTAAAAAATAGTCAAATACAGATCCCTATATCAGTACACTAATCCCCAGTATCATAAAGCCTATGCTTTCAAGAATTGAGACTCTCAAGATTGAGTTTCAGATGGTGAAAAAAGAAAAAAGAAGTCTCAGAAAGCATTCAATGTATCAATTAAGATATCTCTTCTTTAATCTTGCTTATCAGGTTTGTCTTTTTTATGTAAATAATTTCTTGCTACTCGATCATGAGATGAGTACCGTGTTTGAACCTTAGATAGGATGAATGAAACGAGACTTATTGTGATTTCGGAGGAGAAAAGTGTGATAAAGTTCCCAATACATGAAAACAGTTATCCTTTCTTCTTATCTAACTTGTTATAGAAACTATTGGAGTAATGAACGTCTGTCTTGGATTTGAAGTTAGATTCAGCCTTTCAGGTTTCTGGGTTTTCTTTTCTTCCACTTGTCGAAAAGTAGCTCTGCAATCTAAGCATTCTAATTTCTCCTTCTGTACACGGGTCATGTATTGGATTTGCTGCAGTTTTCTCTGACCTGAAAAGGATTCAGTTCTAGTCTTAGGCCAACTGATACATAGTAAAACTTTATAGATTGATGAGAGAGATAGTGGATTGCTTGTAAGTTTTATATCTATTTCTGAGGAAAAATGCAGATTTCCATAATGGATTATGAGGTGTCTTGTTTCAGTGATTTGTTCAAGGAGGAAAGGAGATTTCAGGTGTAGAATCACTTGTTTGTGAAGCAATATGGCTATAACTCTGTCTACCTAGTCATCTGACAGAAATCCAAGAAAATTTTGAATGGTGTGTTCTGCTTTTTCATTTTTTATTTGGTGGGGTGGGTAAGGGTGGGGGTACCCTTTTTATATCCAGCATTGCAATCATGCATTTTCCTTACAGAGCCAAGAATTCATTCTTCTCTTCTCTCACACAGACGAAAGACACTAATAATCACTATAATCATTGGAGTTTCTATAATAAAATGAAAGCAAGATTCTTGTGTTTTCTTGTTTTCTTGTTGCATATATTGAGTTTAGTTTGTGTATCAAGCAGGCCTTTTCTTACTGCAAATGATGGGCATGCTCTCGTTAACCAAGGTGGTGGTGCTCTGTTATTTATCATTTGCTTTATTAATCTTTTTCTTCTAATCTCTTCTTTTCAAGAATTTCTCTCTAAATTATCTGCTTGTCTCGAATTAATACTAACAATTTTACAATTTCAATTCCTCGCAGCAGATACAGACAGAAGTACCCAGTCTGCATTGCAGATTACTCCCAGCACAAATGAGGTTTCTTCATGCATTTCTTGATGATCAAACTTGCATAAATTGCACTTGCACACACATACTTGAAATAATTCGATGTGTAAACGCCCGTTTGGCAAGGTATCTATCTTTATTTTTACTTCTTGGAAAAGAGCTCTTTATGGAGCTAATTCAAATCAGCTATTTTGAAAGACTTTCTAGCCAGACAGAAAACTATTTAAACCTTGTTTGATGCTCATTTTCTTAAGATATATTTTTCTCTTTTCTTTTCAATCACATATTTTTCAATAATTTAAAATTTTTCTTATTTTACCATACATTTTTCGTGAATATGCTATTTCAAAATGCACAAAATGCATTCTTACTATAAAAATGAGAAACAAACATGCGTTAAATAAGTTTAAAAGTAGTTGTTTAGTCTTAAAAATAATTTTTGACTTTTCAAAAGTTTTGTCAAACGAGCCCAAGGTCATTTGAGTTGATATCCAACTTCCTACCACATAGGCCATTATTTATCATTTATAATTTTTTCCCCTTTTTAAAGGCCAATTACAAGAGCAAGAGTCGAGAAATGGAAGAAGGTGAATACAAGGAAAACAGCAAGATGGGATCAAGGCCACCAAGCTGTGAACACAAGTGTTATGGGTGCATACCATGTGAAGCCATTCAAGTGCCCACTTCAAACGCACTCCAATACACTAATTATCTGCCTGAAGGTTGGAAATGCAAATGTGGACATACCTTCTACACTCCTTAGCATACTCAAATCTTCAATATGTCAACAAATTTTCCCTAGTTATGTGAAGATTATGTGGTTCACTTGTTAGGAAAATGCATCTGCTTATTGAGCAATATAATCACATTATGATAAACATGCATTTCCTTTGCTCAATTTTCCTAAGAGCATGTTTGGCTTATCTTAAAGTTAAAAGAGGAAAAAGCTTCTTTTGGCTTTTTGGAAAATGCTACAAAGGAATATCGGATGTAACACTGTAACTTTAGGAAAACCCACAACTGAATATGCAATTTTCCATTTTTGTTGTGAATTACAAAACAACATAATTATGTTAAAAAACAATTATGCTACATGTACAACTGATAATTCTGATTAACAACCACATATATGGAAGGGAGCTCACGTTGAATAAAACAATCATGGGTCCCCCTTTTATAAGTACGTTGTCAACTCTGATTGTATAACTAAAATAATTCATGAAAAAATATGTTGTATATAACTTCCTCTTCCAAAATTGTCATTATCTTACAATTTTTTGTTCTTCAAGCGTCTTGAAATTTAGTCCCCATTTGACTCCCATTAATTTTCTTTTCATTTCATTTTTTTTTCTCTTCTATTTTTATCTATGCAATATTCCATAAAATACTATTACACGTAAATCGAAAATTTTCTTTCTTGTTCAACCATTCATTTTTCAAAAAAAAAAATATATTATTTCACTCATTTTCATTTTTATAAAATGGGGCCAAACGGGAGCTTAATTCTTCCAAATGTTAAATCGTTGGCCCAAGCACATTGAACCAATGACTGTTAAAATGAGTTGGATCAATGATTGGGTTGATATAGAAAACAATAATCTATATGTTGATTATCAAGATACTTCGTTGAGGTCATGTAAAAATTTCGGAAGAATCAGATAACATCGGAATAAATCGGCAACTATGTTTTTGCATGGACTCTAAAATTGGCAATAAACCTGTGAAGAATATATGGAGATTATAGCGAGAAGTCTGATAAGATTTTCTGAAATATGGGGGAAGTATTGCGATTGAAATTTGAATTCCGTTAAGTCCCATTAATGTATAGTCTAACCGGATTTTTCAAAAATATAAATAGGTTATATTATTTTTCCTAAATTGATGACCATCAAATTTCCCAATTTGCCCCCACACTCAAATCCACTCTCGACAGGAGCTTTGGACATAGAGCTATACAGCTCACGCTTGAGTCCCATTCTTTGAAAAAATATATATTTTCAAATAGCATTTTGATATTATTTCAATCATATATTTTTCAATAAAATAATATTACACGCAAATTCAAAATTTTTTCTTATTTTTGAACTACACATTTTTTATCAACACACTATTCAAAAATGCATTCTTATGAAACGAACGATGCTTAAACAAAAACATAGTAGATTGCTTTAAAAATGGTCATATAAGCAAAAGGTAGACAACGTGTTAAAAATAATAATAATAATAATAATAATAATAATAATAATAATAATAATAATAATAATAATAATAATAATAATAATAAAATCTTAAATGGAATTTGAGTGGGACTCTATCTAGCTGGCATGATAAAGAAAAAAAAAATCAAAAAACTCAAAAAGCTTGACTAAATGTAAAAACTATGTTAGACAGAGTATGCATAATTTAAAGATTTATTTTTCGCTCTTGTTTCTCATAATTAAACTTTCTCATTTTTACTCATATTTTTTTATTTTACACAAACTTTTTTCATCAAACGAGCAACCATTTGTATATTTTTTACAATTGGTTTATCCCATAAGTGCCTATATAAGACAATCGAACATTAAGAATTTGCATGGTAAATTAGACAAGCCCCTATCGAACCAAGTCATCTTATGTTTGCAACTAAATAGGGCCCTATATGGATTAAGAATTTAAGAAAAGGTCCAAGAACTTGGTTTGATCGATTTAGAATGTTTCTTTCAGCTATCGGTTTATTTCTAGTGCTGTCGACTCTTCTTTATTAATTTTTCAGGAAAAACTAGGAATTCTTCTATTACTTGTGTATATGACATGATTTTCAAAGGGAGTCATCCTAATCTTATAACTTAGATCATTGACAAGGAGATCCAACACCGGATTTTTCACCTCTCTAGGGCCTAACTGCATCTCATAGTCTACCAAGAAACAAACAATATTTGCTAGGTCCAATTCTAAAGCTAAATTCAGAGATCTCAATTCAACCATTGCAAAAATCACAGATATCACTTATCTTCTCATCAAAGATATTGAGTTCAACGATACCCATATGCCTGCACGATTTAGTGACAATATTATTACCTTTCATCTTGCCATAATCCAGTCTCCAATGCTCATACATGACAGATTATAATTGACTATCACTTTGTACAGCGAAAGATGGCTCAATGTCAATTAATCATTAGTTTCGTCAACTCTAAGGATCAATTAGCAAATATCTTCACAAAACCTTTTATCCAAGATACCATTTAAAGAATTGTGTCAAAATTGGTATATGGACTCATCCCTAGGCAAGTTTGAAGGAGATGTAATAGTGTGTTACTATGTATGGTTTCCAATTTGGTATTAATGATCATTTGGGTGGTGGTTGTATATTAATTTGTGTAAATGTTATAAAATGGAACTTGAGCTATTATGGATATGTATAATTTTATTTTAAGTGTAATTACAATGAAATTATGAAAAAAAAATTATATGGAAATAATTACGTATCTTACAACTAGACTAAGAACTCAAATTCTAAATTGATATTATTATGTTATTTCAATGTTTGAAGTTATTGTACAGAGTTATATCCCTATTATATAAAAAGGAGTATGTGGAGACACTGTTGAAGTGAAAAGTGTTTTAATCCATTTTATCTCATTGTAGCATTTTTATTTAATTAATTCAATTTTATTTATTACACTGTAGCCATTCTTTCTGTTTCCCGGTAGTTGAGTAAAAACAACGCCGTTTGTTTTGTTTGATTTAATTGACACAACAATATTTCCCCTTTCGAAATTCTTTTACTTTTTCACAAAAATGTTTCTTCTTCTCTTTTCTCTTTTCTAAATCTAGAGTTTAATGTGTTGTTATTTCTATTTTGTTTTTATTATCAATTTTTTTGTATTTGTGTATGAATCCATTTGTTTTTCAGATCTTTTTGGTGTTTTTATTATTTGTGTATGAATTAATTTGTTTTTCAAATTTATTTGGTGTCTAGATTTTTGTTGAATTGGTTGAGGTTTGGAAGTTCCAAACTTTGAAATTAATAGAATTGGTTTTATATTAATTGCAATAGCTGTGGATATATACAATGCACGTGAAGGAGAGTAGTAAAGTAGATTAGGAGAATTGAAAGTTAAAACAAGTTAAAAGTTTCATAGACGTGTCAAAACTCCCATGTACTTGGAAATTTTTTAGCCATATTTGTCGCTTAATTTTGTTGGGCATATCTGTCGAATAATTTTTATTGATATGCATTTGCTTGAAGTAGCATTTGAAATTAACATGAATTAACAGTGCAAACGTGTAGCTGTGATGGCATTAACATGAATTAGCAGTTGTGCACTTTGATAATTTTCTTTTCATTGATAAGCTTCAATTTTTCATTTTCAGGCAGAAATTAACTATTTTTGGCAGCTTTGCCATCCTAATCTTGTGAAATCAATTGGTTACTGTTTAGAGGATGATCACAGAGTTTTAGTTTATGAGTTCATGCCCAAGGGTAGCATGGAGATTTTAATTTTTAATTCGTCAATTATAAATTAAGTTTTATCAAGAGAAATGAATTTTAAATTTAAGGTCTGTCGTCATTGTATTTACTCTACGTTGTAACTTTGGGGCATGTACTATTGAACAACAGTTTAAGAAAAACAGAGAACATTTTAACTTTCAAAGAGACAGATATATAAATTTAAACAAAGAAATAGAAGGCAAAAACTAGGATATGTGAAAAATAAGAATAAAAATGCTAAATAAATTTCAAAAATATACCAAGTGGTCTGTGCATGGAGACTTCATGCCTCCGTGCGCGGAGACTTTAAACTCCATCAGAGTCTCAGTGCACGGGAGACTTCGTGCCTCAACGCAGTGAAGTAAAAGTAAAACTTGGTGGATTTTAGAGAACTCTGCATCTAAAATGCGCCTCCAATCGTGAAAATGGAGGTGGATCTGAACAGAGTCAGTCCTATATTTGATGGGTCTTGAGGCGAACGATGAAAATTAGGCCTCCCAGCGACAAAATTCAAAGGTGTATTAAGGATGTTGTTTTGTTGTGGGATTTAAGGATGTTGTTTTGTTATTTGGATAATTAGTCTTGAACTGGCTCACCTTATTTTAGGTCTGCTCACCTTGTTATTAAAAGGAACTGCCTCAACCCAGACCTTTAGGAACCGAAGGTAATTTGCGTAATTCGTGACGTTTGAATTAAATTTCTGCAAATTATTCATACGAAAATTTGAGTTGATTCAGTTTTACTTAATTTACTTGTGTGTTTATATGTTTGAATGTGTTATTACAGGTAGAAAGGCAACCCATGATTTTCTATCACTGTATTCACCTGTCCAACAAGATCCACGACCTCCGCAAGGTAAATTTTGATTTCAATTCATGCAAATTATTATTACTTTTTTACTTCTTGTTTCTTAAGAACAATGAATTCAGTGCTGTAATTAGGTTCTTTCCTTCATAAACATAAAGTTTTATTTGAATTTATATCATATTTTAAAAGATTTACTGCGACGTAATTACTTTATGAATCACAGAATTATTTTTTGATTATTTTAACGGTTGTAAACCGATTTGCTATTGTTAGTGATTGGTTAACGCATGACCAATCACATGGAAACTTTTGCTTACATCTTTACTGATTTAATCAATTTGGAGAGATCTTGGGGCTTTGAATTTTTCATAATTGTTTTATTGAAATTAATTTGATATTAAACTAGTTCTTAAGTATTTAATTTTTTCTAATTTCCATTTTTTTCTTTGTTCCTTTCTACCACCTCCAAACGTCGTAAAAGGGTGCATTATGATTTGAACCTGTGACCTCCCGATTAGGCTCGACTCCGTGACAATTTATTTAAATAAATCTTGTATCCAATATTATTATTATTATTATTATTATTTCTTTTTTTGGGCGTCGGGTGGAG